GATCCCTAAATCAGTCACATACTACCTTACTAATGTTACTCAGTCCTGGATTAGTAACCTGAACCCAGTTAATTTTCCACTTGCATGCTCAGTATCATGCCCTGACTCCCAACCCCTCTGCTAACCCCCCGAGCAGCCCTCACCTCAGTGTGAGACAAAGGCCAAGCTACATGTAAGGCCAGCAGCTGGTTCTGCCAGGGATCAGGGCACAGCTGGTGGGAAAAAGGAGGGGGCAGCATAGATTAGGAAAAATGTGCCCCCTCAGGACAGACCAATTCATTTAACAACACATATTAATTGAGAACCTAGCTTCCTGGAGCTTATATTTCAGTAGGGAAGAGAGACAAAGTAAAGACATATACTATAAAGCTTGTTAAAAGGTGATCAGTGCTACAAAAAAAGAAACAGGTTACGGAGCACTGGGGCCGGGGTGGACAGATTACAGTTTTAAATAGGGTGGGCACAGGAGACCTACCTGAAGACCCAGAGCAGGAGAGGGAGCTGGGGGAAGGGCATTCGAGACATGGGGATAAGACACAAGGCTGCTGATTTCCTACATCATAAAAACTGCACTGTAGGATGCAGCTCTAGCTCGTGAGAATTAGAAACAAAACTAAACAGAAGAAGGATTGCTGGCTATTTTGGCTAAATGTTTACACACACACACGCACACACGTACACACATTTTGATCTCAGGGCAGGAGGATGAAAGGGCTGTTACTTAATGCTGGCTTCCTAGGATTTCACAACCGCTCAAGGCAAAGGAGGGACGAGGCGCTCCACCCGCAGGCTTCTGTAAGAGACCGCAGGAATCATAAATACCATGTCCTTTTTGCCTATTTTCTTCTTTTTGAGGAGAGGTTTTCTTTTAACATGTGACACTCTCGGCACAGCCTTTGTAACTAGCTGTAGCACGTGTGATACGTACAGAAAGCCAGCACAAAGTGGACCAGCCCTAATGAAATCTAACGGCTAAACATATAAGCGATACATTTAAACGATACATTGCTATATACAGTGCTTATCTGTATATGAATTTTTAAAATGAGCTCTAGTACTAAAGTCTACAGAGGGAGAAAACATTTATCAAATTTCCAAATTGTACTCCTATTTAAATCTCTATTTCCAGGGTCAGCTGTTCATAGCTTCCACAAACTCCTAACTGTGCCCTCTGAAATGTATCCACACTGATTCGTATCTATTGGCTTGCTTCTCTTTTCTGGGATTAGATAGTTACCTTCATAAAGAATATTTGCTAACAACAATGGCAATGGGGAAAAAGCTGTCAATAAATTGCTATCTTTGGGGGCAGATGGTGTATTTTGTCAATCCCCCCTCCTCTTTTCCTTCCCTCCTTCCCTGAAGGATGTACCTATAGGTACATCTTTCCACTGCCCTTCAGAACTTTTCATTACCTTTTCTGATGTTCCAATGTGGATCCAGTCTGGTCATCAAACAGAAAATGCAAACTGTTGAGAGGATAAGTAATGAGATACTCACATAAGGTATGCACTAATAAAAATTTAATATCAGAAAACAAATCAGAAAACAGCGAAAAAATTGTTTTAACCATTCACAATTAAGGTGGAAAGAGACAAAATTATAAGGCAGCCATCCATGGAATGATTTCATGTTTACAAAGGATCCAGAAAAAAGGGACATTTAAAACCACCGTTCAGGCTACTGAACCAGGAGAACTGCAGCGTTACCCCACAGGGCTTCCAGCTTGCTAGAAGAGGCTCTCAGAAAACAGACCAAAGCCAGTCTCCTTCTACTAGGCTGAGCATATCTAGAAAACTCCCAATGGTTGTCTAGTCCTTTCCTACAAGTCACAAATGTCCCTCAGGTCTTCTCAGGTGAATCTAGATGTCTCAGGTACAAAGGGGCTACATCACTGATTTTAATTTCATAGCATCTCCATCAGTGCTCTTTGGGTGATGTGGACCACTCTGTATTGAGCAGAAATTTTTTAACGCAAGGCAGGTTTCCCTGTAGAACACCTATAGAGGGTTCTCGCCTTGCCCTGCAGCAGTTTTGAATGAATCTGGTCATGATTCTCAGTCTCCTAAGGGGATCGGGGCCTCATAGCAAGAACGTTCTTTGGGGCCTTGCGTTGTTGACATACAGTTCTCGTGTTCAGTATTTAGCTACCATGTGTCTGACGGGCTGGCGAATCCTCCTAGGTCTAATCCTTGAAAAAGAGAAAAGTCAGGCAATGACACGTAGAAGTAGGCCAGTAAAAAAACACAATTACATTTCTCTTTTCAACAAAGAACTGACCAGTCAAAACAGCCACCTCTCTTTTATTCTGATTCAAAATACAGGAACAGCTTTGGCTGTTTCAAACAGGGAAATAAAAAGGTGATGGGAGGAGAGAGAACACATGGCCTCTGTAGGTGGTACCGTTTCCAGCTCTCGACACTTCAGTGCAGAATCTTTGCCTAAAAATGCAATCTGGCAACAACACGCACAGGAAAGCCATCAGACCTGGAACATCACTGCTTCGGGGGTATGGGGACTGATAAGCAATTTACTAGAGAACAAGTGACAGAATGGACCAGTAGTGCTTTTCAACTTAATTTGCCATTTAATTTAAGACAGCACTCGAGATCTGAAGAAAGTCTATCCCTACCGAGGAAAGGGAGTCAAATTACAATTAAGGTTAACTTTGGTTACGAGGCAGGAAGGACCATGCTTTTCATTATCAACTGCACCTCTCTGGTAGCCATTGGTTCCATCTGTGATCATGGCAGCAGCTTAGGTATAGCCAATGTTTCCAAATGTGTGAGAGCAGTAAGGCATCCACATCTAAGGAGGCAGTTTTAAACAAGAGGAAAATGGAACTGAAATGTGCCAATAAGTGACCATCCGTGTGGCCTCTCTTGGGACACTGTCCACCATGAGCAAGTTCCTCCCCCTGGGGAAGGAGGCTTCTGCCATGCTACTCGGTTCCCTGCTGCCTGAAGGCGCATTTGAGCCCTGTAGGATTAGTATGGCTATTTCTGCCTGCTGACCAGGAGGGGAATGAGTAGTTCCTAAGGCAGCAGTTTTAAAATCTGGGAAAGCCCATAGCTTCTGAGAGCTGATAGGCCTTGAAAGGTCTGCTTATTAATGTGAGGTCCAGAGGGGAAGGCAAATTTGGAAGTTAAATGGTTCGATCCTTGCCAGAGTTCAAGGCCCTATCCAGCAAGATATTCTAGCCAAACTTTTTAAGTGTGACGGCAAGGCACTGCTGAAAGAGGCTGTGGCCAAGTAGAACAAATTTCTGATCACTGCACACAACAATATGATAGGAAGTGCTACTATCCAAACCAAACCAGACACCAAAACAAACTATTTATTTAACAAAGTATATTTCCAGGGAGAATCAAGGCAACCATATCATTCTGAAGGACCAGATGAAACCTCATAACTCTCCTAAGTCAGAGGCGTTCTCAGGACAGTCACTTACTTTCTGCTGGTTGTACGCAATGGTTGCCAGCCACTATCCAAAACCAGATCCTGTTTATGCTACTTTGGTCTACAGCCAGCAGAGGGCTGGCAAGTTCTATTTCCACAGCTGATGACCTAGTGACAACTCTAGGAAGGAAATAAAGAAATCCTAGGCATGCTGGCTTAGGCGCCATATAAAATGATTTACAAACTCTTAAATCCAATGCCCTGAAGAAAATAGTCTTGGTTCCCTCTTTATGTAATGTCTTTTGAAATGGTAAAGTCAGAATAAATTAATAATACAAATATTATACACTTATTTCATAACACAAGGTTTACAAGGGATTTTGGCAAATATGAAAAATTATCCTACTTTGCTTAACACTTTTACTATCTCAATTGTTTAAATTATCAGAATATTAGTGATTGTGTCATCTCATGTATGAGGAAGTGATATTTAAGGGTTTAACAAAGCTGCATTTGACACAAAGGTAACATCATTGAAGGGAATAAAGAACACAGACAATATTATCTTCATCATCACAGTTCAAGAAGTGGTTGTCCTGATGAGAACTCAACTTACACAAGTATTAACATCGCCACCAGCAGTAAGCAGCAAATTACAGGAAGGAGGGGCTGGAGGGAGAAGTTAGGAGAAAAGCATGGAAAAGATGAAGAGACAAGAGACATGATTTTAATAAGCTTTAAATCAACAGGCAAACACTTCCCATTTGTGACACATCTCGACTTTCTTCACTGCTGTAGGTGCTTTATGTGGTGCTGGCCTAACAGTCCCCAGGGGACACCAAGTAGTCTGCCAGAGGGACTGCTAAGATACACAGTTAAAAAGAAAAAGAAAGGACAATGTAGGTTTTGGTAATCTTACTTTTAAAAAGATTACTACAAAGACATCACTAACTATCCAAATTCACTTAAAGTTTAACACCTCTTAATTTCCAAAGATACTTTGGGATCTGGCTGTTCTTGAAGGAAAGCCTAGGCCTGAACTAGAACTTGGCTCCTCTATATAGACTGTGTTGGAGGCAGGTACTCTACACAAAGGAGAACTTGAAACGAAATGCTATAAAATAGTCATGTCTTTAAAAGCTGGTCCACCTCTGTTGCTCCATTTGATGGAATGGCAGGCTCTCTTTAAAGAGGCACGTGCAAAAGGAGGTGTTCAAGTCTCTCCAGACACCCCCTCTTCAATGGATATCTCTCCCGAGTATGAAGTCAGCGTTCAACGTGTCTTGCCGTCATTTTCCTGACTCTAGCCCCAAATGAACTACACTTATCTTTAGCATCTAAGACAGTGGGCGTCATGACCTTCTAACAAGGCATGTGGCATAGATGCTAAAGCACCAGTCTTACACGGTGAGAACCATGTTAAAAATCAATGGATAAAGTGGCAGAGCCTCTAAACTAAGAAAGAGATTTAGCTTAATTACAGAACACTGTACTTTCATAATTATTTCATTAAGAGTATGAAGTTCTCCACTTTTCCTTAAAACTAAATTCCATCTTCCCTGAGAATAGGGTTAAGAGAAACATCAAAACTCAAAATGCCAAGGGCCCTTGGAAAGACAACACAACGGAATGTCTGTATCCAATCGCAATGTGTTGTTTCTACTCTGAAAGCTTTCCATTACTCCAGGTTTTCATCTCACCTCCCTCCAGACTCTTTCGGAATACAGGTGGAGATGGGCAGGCGAGACAAGAGACTGAGGAAGTGAGCAGCTGTCACGTGCCGGCTGTTCTCACTGGATGGCAAACGGCCACGGACTGAGGCTGGACCCTCCACAGTTAATGTTGGTGTCCTATGGACAGAATGAGTGGGATGAGGCAACCCAGAACCAGGGCGGCCACCTCCAGGCGGCTGAGGCCTCTCCCTCCAGTGGGGTCGGGTTTGTGGCTGTGCCCCATCCCACCCACCTCCGGGAGGACATGTACTGTGGCAACATAAAGAAATGTCCCAGCAGAGAAAAGCATGGCCACTCCAGTGGCATTGACCTCTGAAAGGGCTTCTTTACTGCTCTGTGGAGTAAGAGAGAGAGAGAAGAAAAATTAAGTCAGTAAAATTCAGAGTCTGGAAGAAGTTTCAAAAAAAAATACTCAATATTCGTAACTGGTGCTAACTGGGACACAAGGGACATCTTGAGATCAGAGCAATTTTGTTATTTATGGGAAGCTTCCAAACAAGGGTTTAAGACTATTGATGATGTACACAATTACTTTTTCGAACAAACTTCAAGTCTGGTTGAACAGGTTTGCCCTGTATTCTTAAGATGGAATCAACAGCATTATTAATGTAGATGTCAAATTTCACATATCCATTCATTTACTGTATTAATATTAACAATATCCCACATGCACCAGGCTCTAGGCCGGTGCTTTAGATGTAGCACCTGCCCTCACAGAGCCTAGAAATATCTCATAAGTTAATTTTTACAGTTAACTTCAACTTTTTCCATTAAAAAAGTGGACCTATGGAATAAGACAATTAAAAATTTGAGAAAAGAACATGCCACAAATACAACATGTAACTCCATGCCTCCAGAATTTATCATACCTTCCTGTCAAAAGTTCTCAAAACTTACATTGATCAATGAATTGATAAATGGGGTAAGGTTTAAAAGGGAACTAGATACTGCTCACTGACTGGAGGACAATAAGGCACTTCAGGTGAGCCACCAGGTGTCAGCAATCCAGATCAGCTAACCTCGATAATAGGAACGTAACCATTCTTTAACCATCTCATTTCTCATACATTCCTTTCTTTTTTTTTTAATTTAATTTTTTTATTGAACTGTAGTTGATTTACAACGTTAGTTTCAGGTGTACAGCAAACTGATTCAGTTATACACATACATACACATATATACATACATTTCCAGATTCTTTTCCATTATAGTTTATTACAAGAAATTGAATACAGTTTCCTGGATCATACGTTCTTTTCAATACAAGTTTTACTATACCAAATATGAATCGAATGACACTCAGAAGAATCAATGACCTTTAGAGTCAGCGTGGCAAAAAGCAGTTTCCAGGAACTATCCTTAGTTGGTTTGGTTCTAAGATTCTCCTCCTGTTCTGTTGCCTGCCAGTTGATGTTTAAGTAAAATGAGGATGGCTGTTGGTAAGAACTGCAGCCCAAGTGGACAGAACAATCAGGCAAGAAAGGTCCAACTTGAGCAACAGAGCAGAATGCCCAGGCTCTGAGCTGACTAATGACGCGTGCCACTTCGGATCTGAAGCTATGTTCGGTGCAATGAGGAAGAACTTACTATGCAGTGATATGAGGGCTGGGACTAGGAGAACCTGAGTCTTAGCTGAACAGAGCTCTCTCTGTTCATGCCCTACTGCCTCAAAGCTGCTGCGTGCTTGTCACTCACACTTCCTGTGCCCACTGAACCATTACATAAGTACTGTCCTGACTTATGTATCTGTCAGATAAAATTAGAATGTCTGATTAGGTTTAAGTTATGTTATTTTAAAGATCATGTATTTATGCAAATATTTCTGGAACTGATGGAGTAGTAGTTTTCGAATTAAATGAATAAAGAAATTCATGGTAAGGACTAGCTTGGAATTAAGATGTTTACTCTGTACAGGTTTTTAATCCCAATCTTATCTTTAGTTTGAGGTGATTTAATTGAAAAATTCATCTTAATAAGAGCCCATAAGTTCTAGTAGATCACAAAAGAATTAGACATCTGTCTGGATAAGCTAGGAAAGAGTCAGACTTACCTTACTTAGTCCTAAGTACGTCACCATGGACATAACTGGTGCTGCCAGTGCGAAGACGAGTAAGTGCTTTCTGATTCGATTCCGCTCGAGGCCTGCATGCATTAAGAAGGAAACCAGTCCAAAAGCAGCTGGTGCCTAGAAAAAAAAATTATCCTTTATTATTCTAGAAGTTGGATTGCTTCTGCACTATGAAGAGCATGTCATTTGACTGAATCCTCATACACGAAAACCAGTCATAATAGCAAGTCTGAGCTTTTAGAAATTAATGTTCTAAGCTAGAAAATATCCTATTTGTGTGTGCATGTTAAATAGTCAAAAAACGAATATAAGAAAAGAAAAGCATTTATGATTAAAAATTACTATGAAATATAGAAACCTGTAGAGAATTTAAGTTTGTGTATAAGACCACACAAAAAACAAAGCCCCCCCCAAGGATAAGTTTACAAAAATGGTAGCAAAAATACTCCAGCTCTGGAAAGACTTATTCAATTCATAAAATGAACAGCAATTATGAAAACAGCTAAAAAATTTTTCCATTCCAGAAAAACATAATGACCAAAGAAAAATTTTAATTAAGACTACAGTCAATACCAAAGCTTACACCAAAATTTTGCTTACCTTATGTAGCATTATTGCCACAAACACAATTAACTGGACACTAGTTTGTGAAGTAGAAGCTGCTGCTCCCAAAGCAACACCATCCGCTAAATTTGGAAAAAGTAAAATCATAAAACACTATAAATAACAACTATAATAGTGTAGTGGTTGAGCATGTGGGCTGTAAAGTCAGATAGAGCTGGACTGGACTCTGGGAAGGTTACTCAACTTTTCTGAACCATATAGCCTTCTCATTTCTAAAATGGGTTCAATAAAGCATATACTCTTAGGGGTTTTATGAGGGTTAAATGAGAAAACATATGGGCCGAGCTTAGCACAGGTGCCGTTCGATTTTCAGTATGTCAGCTGTTACTGCTGTTACTGGAAAATTCTGATGCTCAAAAAATCTGATTAATCAATCAAACTGTACTAATAGAAATGTCAAAGAATTTCAAAGGAAGCATCTCTGCATCTTGCAGCTGAAAAAACAAAATAAAGACACTAGGACTCGGCATACATGATTTACACTTATGGAGTAAATATTGGTTGAATGGGTGAATTTTTTGTTAGAAAAGTATGTTTTACCAAAAGTCCAGATACTAGTGTATCACCTTTCACATGCTTTTGTTTGTCACCGACAGATCCCTACTACTGAGACTAGTTCTGGTTTGTGATTCCAAAGCTTGCTCAGTCAGCAATCCCAAGACTCTGACACTCTACAGCCTGCCTCTGTCTCGACTGGTACTTTGGGTGGATACCAGGCAGCAGGGCTATTCAGTACAAAAATGCCAGGTCCTTATGCAGGTGAGATCCTAGGGCAGAGGTCAACACTTTTTCTTAAAGGGCCAGATAGGAAATATTTTAGTCTTTGTGGGTCATTTGGTCTCTTGCAACCACTCAACTCCATCATTATTGTGTGAAAGCAGCCACAGATAATACATAAACAAGTGGCCATGGCTGTTTTAATAAAACTTTGCTTACGGACACTGAAATTTGAATTTCATGTAATTTTCACATGCCACGAATTATCCATCTATTAAGAAATATAAAAACCATTCTTGGCTTGCAAACCCCTGACTCTGAGTAGGCCAGGGCTTGTGCTTGTGTAGGAGGACTTCATTAAGCAACCATTTCCCCAAAAGGCCAGCCCAAGAGCATTTCATGTGGACGGTCCCCGTGTGACAGAAAAGAAAGGGGTTCCACTGTAATCCAATCCTACCTGCAGCATGGACGACCAGCCCCAGTGTGGTGGTGATTTTGGAATTGCTAGGCCTTGCTGTTTCTGGATCTGAAGTAAAAATAAGCAAGTCAGCCATTCAGCAATGTGAACCAGAAACTGTTAGAACATTCATCAGGATGTGGAAGAATTCTCAGCAAGTAGTAGATTATTTTCCTCACTATTGTCTTTTCTTCTGCTTCAAACATGTAGAAATTTCCTCTGTCCTGAAGAAGTTGTCAGGAGGGAACTTTTCCTTTGACCCAGCCCTCCCTGAACAGACGTCACCCTCAACTGCCTCACACCCCTTAATGCCCTACCTCTCCACGGAAAGTGCTCAGGAGCCTCTGATCACTTCTCTCCAGACCAATTTCACTGTCATTTCCCACCTCCTTCTCTTCCCCAGCCTCCTGCAACTTCATCTTTATTCTAACATCAAAATGTCTGTCACATTTGCCTTTCTCCATTTTATCACCATCATTCTAACCTAAATTTTCATCAACCCACCTAAATTAGCAATAGGCTCCCAACTGGTTGTTTCCCCTTACTCTCCTTCCTAACTCATCTTACAAATCTTGTCAGATGCATCTTTCTGAATCACCACCCTTGTGATGGGTCAGTTATCCAGTTAAGAATCTGCTGCTTTCCAAATTCAATCCAAACCGCTCTATTAAGTAGGTTCTTGAGCCCTTTATCAACTGGTATCATCTTATTTCTCACTGTCCAATCCAGTTAAACCAGTTTATTTAACACCTCTAATAAAACTGTCTCATTCTTCTTTCCCCAAATCTCCTCACCCCTAATTCTTGGCATGTACTGTTCAGCTTGGCAATCCAAAACTGAGACAGTGTTCAAAGTCTAAATCTAGGACTGCTGATTTCCATAAAGAATCAAAGGTTAGTTAATTCCAGCTCAAAACAACCTGCCCCCCGCCTACAAATAGACAGCTTTATGCAAGCCTCTACGTGCTACTTGAAGGTTTCTTCTCTACTCCACCTTAGATATACAAACTGTTTTCACTTAAATATGTCTTATATCCCCAGATTGACTGTGAACTATATAGAATTAAATTCTATACTTCTTTCCCTTCCTTCCTTCCTTCCTTTTTTTAAATGGAATTACTGGGGATTGAACCCAGGCCCTCATGCATGCTAAACGTATGCTCTACCACTGAGCTATTATCCTTCCCCCTCCATTTCTTTTTTATATATCTTATAGCATAGCACTGGCCACCCACTAGTTGCTTAATAAATTCTTGGTGGTGAGTAAAAAAAAAAAAAGTAGTTATCTGTACTACAGCTATTATAGAAAGTAAACAAACAAGTAAATAATGTCCAAATAATGCAAAGTTCAAAGACATGGACATCAAAATGCCAGGTGAAATGACAGACGGACATTAGTCAAATAAACTGCAAGGAATGTAATCATTTTGAGAGGCCCAGCACACAAAAGGACGGTTTACAATGGAAAAAGCATGCATGAGTAAAATAACATGTCATCTTTTTATTAACAACATTTATCTTCTAATTAAAACACTGCAAGAAGGGAAGTTAAAGCCCCTAATCACTCTGAGACAACAAATATTTCAATATCACCCCGAACTGGAAGAACACTGCAACAAGCTTATTTTGGCTTTTCTTCATACAGAGTCTTGTGGTCTAGCTATGAGTAGCATCTTAAATAAAAATTAGAGGCTTTAAAATTAAAACACACTTTTTATAAATCTCTAGAAAAAGATGGCTTCAGAATAAATTTAATACGTGAATTAACTTTTACTGATAAAAATACACAAAACTCTGCAGGTAATAGGTAAAGTGAAGCCATTAGATACATGAAAGCCAGCAAAAATAGTGACCTCTGAGACAAAACAGGAGGAAGAATAAAGGACCACATGCTACATCTAATCTTTGTATAGGGTTACAGGACACCAATCAGCCTAAAAATGCGTTTTAAATTAAAACTCACAAAAATTGAAAGAAAAATGTCATAAAGGCCAGTGTGGACAACTATGTATGTAATGCAGCTGGAGTCAGATTCCATCCAACAGAGGGTGCTTCTCATTTACTATTTAGAATTAAGTACATGAATAAAACCTTTTACTCCTAAATCAATTTCCTAAAAGAAGACTTGGTTTAAAAAAAAGAGGGGGAGGGAGGGAGAGAGAGAGAGAGAAAGAAAGAAGAAGAGAAAAGAAATAGTAAATACAAGGAAACTTAAAACTTTTCTAGACCACGGGCATTTTTTGTTTAAAATTTAATCCCATAATTTTAAAAAACCTTTCATTTGGGAATAATTTTAAATGCTCAGAAAAGTTGCAATAGTTCTAAACACACTCAGATACTCTTTTCTCAGAATGACTGACAGTCTAACATTTTGCCCATTTGCTTTATCATTTGTGCTCATGCTCTCTTGTTCTCTATCCACATCACACAAACACACATATTTTTTCCTGTACCATTAAATTAAAGTTGCATCCATCAGAGCTCTTTACCCTTAGCTACTTCAGTATGTATTTCCCCAAGAGAAAGGATGTTTTCTTATATAATCACAGTATAGTTATCAACTTCTGTAAGTTTAACATTGATTTTTTTTCTAATCTCTCTTGCATATTCTAATTTTGTCAGTTGTCCAAAGAGCATTTTTCCTTTTCCAGGAAGGATTCAGTCTACGATCAGATTTGCACTTAGTTGTGTATCTTCAGTCTTCTTTAATCTAAAATATTTTCTCTGCCTTTGACTTTGGTGACATTGCTATCTCTGAAGACTACATTCCCCTCCCTGCGCCTTCCTTGTCTTTTAACAGAATGATCCTTCCTTTTAGATTTGTCTGATGTGTCCTCAGATAACGCATTCCTGCATGGCATACTACGTAGGTGATGCTTCTCAGGATATCACGTCCAGAAGCACAGGATGTACATCTGCTGCTCACTGTGGTGTCAATTCTGGATTTTATCTTGGACACTGTAAATGTTATCTTGTGGATACTATGGATTCAATTATATTCCTCCAAAGAGCATTGACTTTTTTGTTTTGCTTTAAGTAACTTGGTTTGGCTCAAACTGCAAACTCTCTCTTTTGAGCAGCTGCCTAAATCTCAGTTTAGTTCTTTTATCTTCAGCTGAGCTTCCTGGGGTCTGCCCAGGAAGTACAGTTCAGGGCTTAGCCAGAGACTTGAGCAGTTTATACACAGAATTTGGGGCTGAGTTTCTCTGTCTCTCTCCTTTCTAAGATTCTCCCCTCACTTTTCAGAGGCTGCAGTTACCCTAACTCTGTCCTCCAGTTCCTTAGGCCAGAAAGACGAGTTTTCTATCAGTTAGCTACCCTACATGCACTGACTGCTAAAAGCAGTAAAAATAGATCCCAAGTGTTGACTCACTTTCAGAATTTACCTCCATTAGGTCACTCTCCAATTGTCTTTAGATAGTGCTTTTAAAATTTTGTCCAAAGTTTATAGTTATCTGTAGGGAGGCTGGTCTGATAGGAACTTACTTATTTATACTAAAGCAGAACGCCAATGACATTAATTCTGGTTATCTGATCAAGGTATTGCCTGACTTCTTCATTAACTTTTTTTCCCCTTGCAACTAATAAGCAAATCAAAATATACCCCCTAGATTTAACATTGATGATTCTGGCCTGAGCCTATTTTTACTATGAAGGTTGCAAAACTGATTTTCCAATTCCATCAGTTGGCACTTAGCATTCTACTGTAAGCACATGCACTCCCTTCTCCTTTTATCTTTGTCTCATGTGGATGGGCCTACTGCTTCCCATTTTTTCAATGGCTTACATTTTATTACTGTTCTTAATTATCCTGGTGTTCAAATTGTCCTAATTCTGGCCAGCAGAAGCCCCTTCAAGCTGGTTCCTATATCCTGTAACATGTTTCCATCTTCTTTCTTCCTTCAGGTATATGTATTTCTTGAGCGCTAGATGTTCCAAGCTCATTTTGATACTTACCCTGCCTCTGTCCCGGAATCAGCCATTTCTCTGAAGAGCCCTGGAATGCTCACTGCTAGTGGGGTGTCTTTATTTCTAGGCCCTTTCTATAGACAGAGCTAAGACATACATACATGTATACATAAACACACATGTATATATGTACACATATACATACACATACAAGTTTTAGAAATCATGATTCCAATGGCTCCAATTCCAATTCATCCCTGCAGGGGTTCTTTCCTGCCTTCCCTCATTCCCTATTTGTATGTCCTTTTTTCCTCAGTGAGGACTCTGGTTCCACCATCAGCAACACATTTATTCATTCGCTCAATCTTTTAACACATCTAATACAGTTCAGAACTGTTCTGCCCATACCACTACAAAAGGCAAAGCCTACTAAAAAGAGTTCGGTATTTGTTTATGCTTCTTCCCCAACTCCACACATCACTAAAGGTACGTCGCCAAATACTCTGTTCACAAGTTACTTGAATTCACTTTTAAAAAATCCCCTTCAGTGTGATTGTTATTCATCTGAAATACGTTCTTTTGTTTCAGTTAGCTCCCCTATCTTGGTTGATTTCATTTTATTTTTTGCATATGGAAAATATTAACACTTTTCCAAAAGTCAAAACTGTATCAAAAAGGCATGCCCAGGGAAGTCCTCAAAACCTTCTGACCTATCCCACCCTCGCCCTCACTCCTACAGGTAACCAACTTAGCGTTCTAGCTGATCCTTCTTATGTTTCTTTTTTGTAGAGATAAGCAGATATATACATGTTCTCTTATTTCTCCTTTCTTATACAAAACATAGTATTTGATAGATGGTAATTTATTTTTGCTTTTTTTTTTCACTTAACAGTTTTTCCTGGAAATCTCTCCCCATCAGTTCACAGAGATCTGATTTCTTATTCTTTTTCATAGCTGCACAGAACTCCATTACACGTATACACCATACTTCACTCAACCAATCTGCATGGCTAGACACTGAAGTGGGTGTACAATGGTAAACAATGCCGCACTGATTAATCTTATGCATGTGTATTTTCACATTGGAGCCAAATGATCAGATTCTGAGAAGTGGGGTTTTGGGTTGAAGGGTAAATACACATGTAGTCTTGTTAGATACACCCAAATTCCCCTCCAAGGGGGCTGCACCATTCATTATGCATTTCCACAGCAATAGATGGCAGTGTCTGCCAATAGAGTATACTGTCACGCTTTTGAATTTTTGCCTATCTGACAGGTGAGAAATGGCATCTCAGTGGAGTTTTCATTTGCATCCTTCTTATTTTAAGTACAACTGAACATTTTTTCATATGTTTAAAGGCCATTTTTATATCTTTTAATGAACTATCTGTACATGGCTTTTGCCTGCTTTTAAACAGAGTTTTTGGTAGACCAGGAATTGTTAACCTGGGGTCCACATAGGAGAACACAGGTAGAATGCAGCAGGTATCTGTGACTTTAACTTGAAAAAAAATGCACTGTATTTTTACTAACCTCTAACTGAATTTTAGCATTTCATTTAATTATGAATATAGACAATGAACCACAAGTAGCATTAGTACTACCCTTTACTGCCAACAGAAATCAGAAATTTCATATTATTTTTACAGCTGTTATTGATATCTTCATACTATCACTTTCACTCATCACTGCTTCAGATTAAGGGCTTAGAGAAGTGCTGTCACATTGCATGATTACAGTCTTCTTGTCCGTAGATGCTCATGTGATGGAGCTGGGCAACTATCAGGCAACTCTACCTAACAGTCATTCAGCCACCGAAAAGTACAAGTCACGGTCTCTTAGTGGGGACCAGGATATCTCTGCTGCTTTCTAGTAGTTTCTATCCGCAAAATCTCTGTCAATGTATTTGAAAATATCTGTAAACCCTTATGTCTATATAATTTTTTCAAATGTATTTCTATCATTATGGCATCAGTTATTATCATGGACCAGAATTTCTTTTTATTTAATATAAACCATATAGAGATGTTGATCTAGCCAAAGATGAGTTCATTGATCTTAAGACAAAAAAGTTACTCTGACTAGAATTAATTTTAAAAGTCTTGGAGAATTCTAGTTGCCCTTAGGAGAAGCTTGACTTTCCCTACTAAGAGAGCTATGCATGTATTTAAGTATATCTGTAATAAAATGTCTTTGTGAATCAGGCTCTTCTGCAGTAGTAACCATCAAAACAAAAACCCAAATCAACTGGATGTTCTACTCAACACTCTGTTGCCTTGTTAAAGCGCATTTATTTAATGCCCTGATAAAGAAGACATACATTACCATATCACAACTTTGTTTTAATGTTTTGGTAACTATATTTCAATATAATTGATTTTCTCTATAATCCTATGCACTATGTTTTATGCATTTTAAAACATTACTCCGATAAAAGGTCCACAGGCTTCAGACTGCCTAAAGGCTCCATAGCACAAAAAGGGTTAAGAACTTCTGCCCTAGACCTCCATCAAAGGAGACAGCTTTAAAATAACCAGGGTAATAATCCAATAAACACTCTCTTGTGCCATGTCACAACACTCTAGCTTGCCCAAAATAAAACATTCATCAGAAACTGAGAAAGACAAGAGTTTTAGCATAAGGCCATTGATACATATATACCGAATTATTCAATGATTTATGACCACCTAAATTACAAATTTATTGGACTGCCCAGAAAACCTTGGAGCCACTTACCATCAGTAGAATGCACATGGGAGCTGCCAATCTGGTCCACCAGCAACATGAAAACGAAGCCCAGAACAAGGGAAACACCGATGTAGGCGTGCAGCTGTGTGTGGTCATGGCTGTGCTCATGTTCATGGGCAACTGGTATTTCTGCTGCTTTATCTGATGCAATCACATTCTGTGTTTGACTTGATTGGTGGTGTTTTCCTAGAGCAGAATGAACCATAAGGAGAAAATGTGTCCCTCTTAAAACATTTTCATGTGGACATTTCCATTCTTTTGTATTTCAAGCTCTATAGACTTTATGACAAAGACATTCACTTCCTATATTGTAATCCAATCATAAACTTCCTTAACTTAAAGTTCATTATGAAAAAATTCCCAAGGGTCTTTTGCTTTTAACATGCAGAACCTTTAAGTGCCTACTATTCTCAAAACCTAGGAAGGGGAGCAGTTATAGCTCAGTGGCAGGGCACGTGCTTAGCGTGCATGACGTCCTGGGTTCAATCTCCAGTACCTCCATTAAAAAAAAAACCTAGGACATGAAAGCAAATTACCAAGCAAGAAAGCAGTCACATTCCCAAGCGATATCCCCAAATCAGCTTTTCTGGCTAGAGAAATTCATACCAATGAAACTACAGTTAAGTTTATTTTGATGAAAATAGGCAAATGAAGAACAGTAACAATGAAAATAATTACAAATCAAATTTATCTAGTTTTAAACCTAGGTTGATATAAAAATTGCAAATTAAATACAAAATTTTAGCTTTAAAAAATATCAGGGAATAATCACTAATTAGCAACCAAAAGGGCTGAGTAGTTTAAAAGAGACAGTCTAAATTTAGTTCTAGAAATATGATTATTGGGATATTCTGAATTATAGTAAATGACACCAGGCCAAGTAATACCACTAGTTTACATTCACGTATTCGACACTCAGAGCATAAACACTTCAAGGCCAGAATCTTTACCTTTGCTGCGTTTCATGAGTAGAGGACAACATACTAGATATTCATCATTTATAATTAGATTAAGCATTTTTTACCTTTGAGCAAAGAAATTACATAAGCCTTTTGTAATATTTTAGACCCTGCCTTAACTCTTCAAAAGTCATTTCTGAGGAGTACAAAGCACATGCCACCTAAAGATAATAAAAACCTACATATTTTTCAAATTCATGAAAGTATTTGTTTTCATAGCTGTTTTCTTTTTTTAATATGGTAAAATACACATGACATAACATTTACTTACCATTTTCACCATTTTTAAGCATACAATTCTGTGGCTTTAAGTACACTCACCTTGTTCTGCAACCATCATCATCATCCATCTCCAGAACTTTTTCGTCTTCCCAAAGAAATTTTTTAATCTGAAGATTTTTCCCAACAGTGATTTTATTTACTTATTTTTAAATTAAATGTCTAAATCTCTCTCTTTTAAAAATGAACTTTATTGATGTATAATTCACAAATGTAAAAACTCTCTAGTAACTATCACCAAGGTCAAGATATAGAATAGTACTTAAAAATCCCAGAAAGTTCTTTTGTGATCCTCTGGAGTCAATGTCACTCCTGGTCCCAAGCAAGCACCAATGTGCTTTCTGTCCCCAGAGTTTCCCCTAGACTAGGATTTCACATAAACAGAATCATACAATATGTACTCTTTTGTGTAAGAATTCTTTTGCTCAGCGTAATATTTTGAGATTTATCTAAGCTTTGCATGTATCACTAGTTTGTTCCTCTTATTTTGCTGAGTAGTGTTCCACTGTATGGACATAGCACAACTTGTTTATCCGTTCGTTTGTTGACAGACATTGGGTAACTTCTAATTTTGGTCCATTTTAATAAACAAAGCTGCTATAAGCATTCAAGTACAAGTCTTTCTGTGGATACACATTTTCTTTTCCCTTGGGTTAAATACCTAGGAAAAGAACTGATGGGTGTGTGCGTTTAATTTTATATATATATAAAAAAAGCTGTCAAACTGTTTTACAAAGTGGTTGTACCATTTACAAATCCAGCAGCAATGTATGAGAGTACTAGTTGCTCCATAACATTGTCAATATTTGATGTTTTGAGACTTTAAAACTTTAACCATTTTACATAGGTGATCATGTCATCTGCAAACAGTTTTACTTCTTTCCAATCTTTATGCCTTTTCTTTCTTTTTCTGGCCTTGCTGCAGACTAGCATCTGGTTAGGACCCCAAGTACAATGCTAAGTACAAGTGGTTGAGAGGAGACAATCTTGTTTTGTTCCCAATGTTAGGTATCTTATCTGTAGGCTTTTCAAATATGCCCTTTCTCAGTACAGAATTTTTTCCTAGTTTGCTAAGAATTTTTTTTTTAATGAATGGGAGTTTAACTTTGTCAAAAGCTTTTCCATACCTGTTAAGGATGATCAAATGGTTTCTCTACTTTATTTGATTAATATGATAAATTAAAAAGGGTTTGGGATATTAATCTAACTCTTGCTTTGCATTCCTGGGGTGAACTCTATTTGGTCCAAATGTACTATCCTATTTATATAAAGCTGGATTCAACTTGCTAATATTTGGTAAAACACTGTTCCATCCACATTCATGAAGGGGTATCTGCCTGTAACTTTTTTCTTATAACATTTCTGTTTGAGTTACACTGGCATCTTAAAATAAGATAGAGTGCTCCTCCAAGAGATAGGCAGAAAAGACCTCCTCTAGCCAATACATTTCCATTTTACTAAACAAGGTCTATGAATATCAGTAGTTATTCTGATATTAATGTTAAGCAGTTTCTGAAATTGATGAAATGAGACTTATGATAATGTTTTTTGAACTTTTAAGGCCATGACCTATAGTAAAAAATAAATTTTGCAACTTGATTTAATAAACATATACATACATGAATAAATAAAAGTTGCATAAAATAACACTCAGCCTTACAATGGTTACAATGCACTATTCTGTTTCTTTACCTGTTTCTTCTCTATCTTTGTCCCTCCCTCCTGCTCTTCTTAAATGCCAGTCACAAGTCCAACTCACTAAATTTATTTCAAGATTCACTGAGTTGCCATCTGTAGTTTAAAAGCACCAGTGGAGATAAAGAGAGACTTTCAGAGGAAGAAAAGAATGAATTTGGAATAAGAGGTATTTCCTAGAAATTAGAAGCTTATGCTGTAGTAGTCAGCTAAAGAGAACTAAATGCCAGACAGGCCTAGGAGGAAAAGGTGAGCAGACTGATATGATCACCCTGTCCTTCATGCAAGCAAAATTATTGTAAGCAATAGGATTTTGAGTCAAAGAATTTATTAAAGGCTCAGAGATGAAAGATAATTCCATTTATGAGAGAAGCAGTCTAAGAATCTTGAATCAGTGATGATGGAGAATTAAAATGTAGCCTCATGATAACGGGAGGGTGTTTAGTTTGTGAAAAATCACTGAGCTATATATTGCCAGTATGTGTACCTTCTTGTGTATATGATATTTTTGTATGCTTTCAATAAAAATTAATAAACCCCAAATGCAGTACTCTGATGCCCAATTCTGAGGTGGCAGAACTCATCATTTGTGCACTGGGAGAATAGTTCAGTATGGCCTTTGTGCACTGGGAGAATAGTTCAGTATGGCCTAAAGAACTTGAAAAAAATAAATGAATTAATACACCTGATCTTCTCTAAAGGCAAAGCAATTCTGGGTATGCTTGTTTTAATATAAAAAACCAATTCTTCATATTTATAGATGAAAAGAGAGTACACATGAAGTCAAGTCACAGAATTTTGGTGACTACAAATTTCAAAACTATTTAGAAAGATGCTATTGGATAGAATTTGAATGATTACCTTTTCATAAGTTACCTACTAAATATTCAACAAAATGGGCTCCCATCTCTGCCACTGCCTCAACTCTGCATGAGTTAATGAAATCACGGGCCTTCCATGCTGCTTCTTTTGGATAACATCTTGTCTTTCAAGACTCAACACCTAAGTCCCTGCCTCCTCAAGATTTTCTGTGTCTTCCTCATGTATTCACAGCATACTGAATGCACTTCTATCATAGGTCTTATCTCACTAAACCATAATTCAGACATCAGCAAACTACAGAACAGAGGCTGATGCCTGTTTATGTAAATAAACATTTGCACTGGAACACAGACATGCTCATTCGTTCACGACTGTCTACAGCTGCTTTCACACTATGACAGCAGAGCTGAGTAACTGCAACAGAAACCATATGGCCCACAAAGCCTAAAATATTTACTATCTGGCCCTTTACAGAAAAAGTTTGCCAATTCCTGCTGTCACTGACTGTTAATTTATTCATTTTCCATTGGCTGTGAATTATTGAAGACGGGAGCTATACTGCAGATCTATGAACTGCTAACAATCAATGTAAGGCCAGAAGTCTAGTAGATACACAATAAACTGATGTTGAAGGCATAAAACAGCCTTCACTTCTGTAAATTTTTATGTGGCATTTCATTCCAAAAGTTATGCAATTAATTATTTCCTAGGCAAAATGATTTTTAATGGAAATAAAATACAATCTTTTAGTCTTATGTTTTAAAATAATTACGCACGTTTCTTTATAAATCCAGACTTAATAAGTAACAGATGTATGTGCTAAGTTAGGTGAAAGGTTATGCTAAAGTAAGCTTAGGTAAGAAGGTGGGTTAACACCTTGTTAGAGGGTGTTAGTCATGCTATTATTTGTGAAGAGTTGCATGATGATTTTTAAAGACAATTATTTCTGGAGTGTCCAAAGCTCTGAAACTAAAAGTCAAGCCTAATTACACCTTTCAAAGACTGGCTAACATTACTTCATTTTATGAGGTAAAACTATATCAGAATTTTAAAAATTTGGATGAGTATAAGATCTTTTCACCATTATCTTATCCCAACAGTGCTTTCTTTATCTAAATAATTTTGGAACTCTTTTTTTGGTACAGACTTCAGAGTCAAGTTTATGAATCACAATAAAATTGACATTACTTTCTACTTATCTCCAGCTTTTGATCTAAAATAGTTTTGAATAAAAGTACAATGAGGTATCACCTCACACCAGTCAGAATGGCCATGATTTAAAAAGTATGCAGATGATAAATGCTGGAGAGGGCATGGAGAAAAGGGAACCCTCCTATTCTGTTGGTGGAAATGTAGGCTGGTGCAGCCATTATGGAAGACAGTATGGAGAGTCCTCAAAAAACTAAAAATAGACTTACCATATGATCCAGCAATCCCATTCCTGACATATATCCAGAGAGAACTCCAATTTGAAAAAATACATGCACCCCAATATTCACAGCAGCACTACTTACAACAACTAAGACATGGAAACAACTTAAATGTCCACTGATAGATGACTGGATAAAGAAGTTGTGGCATATAGATACACACACACACACACACACATATATACATACAATGGAATACTACTCAGCCATAAAAAAGAATAAAATAATGCCATTTGCAGCAACATGGATGGACCTGAAGATCATCATTCTAACTGAAGTAAGCCAGAAAAAGAAAGAAAAATACCATATGATATCACATATATGGGGAATCTAAAAAAAGGACACAAATGAACTTTTCTACAAAACAGAAACAAACTCACAGACATAGAGAATAAACTTACAGTTACAGTGGGTAGAGGGAGTGGGAAGGGATAAATTGGGAGTTCGAAATTTGCACCTGTTGAGGAGTGATGGAAATGTTACTTATTTTGATTATGGTGGTGGTTTCATAGGTGTATGTATCTATCAAAATTCATCAAATTGTACACCTGAAATATGTGTAGTTTACTGTACAAGAATTAAACTACAATAAACATGTTAAAAAAATAAAACTACAGTCATCAAGATGATGTAGGATTGGCAAAGGATAGACATATAGATCAATTCTGTCTATAGACAGAATGGAGAATCCAGAAACAGATGAACACAAATACGGTCAACTGATTTTTGGCAAAGATGCAAAGAATTCAATAAAGGAGAGTCTTTTCAACAAACAGTACCAACACTTTCAGATATCCATTCAGATACAAAAAAAAAATGAACCTTCATACTATGTGCAAAATTAGCTCAAAATGGATCATGGACCTAAATGCAAAACCTAAAATTATAAAACTAGAAAAAAACAAAAGAGAAAATCTTTGTAAACCTGGGTTCAGCAAAAGGTTTTTAGATATGACACCAAAAGCACAGCTCATGAAAGAATAATTGATAAATTCACTTCACCAAAATTAAAAACTACTCTGTGGAAGATACTGTCAAGAGAATGAAAAGATAAGCCACAGACTAACAGAAAATATTTACAGGTCACATATCTCATTAAAGGACTTGTATCTAGAATATCTGAAGAACTCTCAACCTCTATAATAAGGAAACTAATTTAAAACACACACAAAAGATTTAATATCACCAAAGAAGATATAACAGTGGCAATCAAGCACATGAAAAGATGTTCAACATCACTTGCCATTAGGAGACTGCAAATTAAAACTACATTCAGTACCACTACCCATCTATTAGAGTCACTAAAATAAAAACTAAAAACAGACAACACTGAGTGCAAGGAAGTCTGGAATCAACTGGAACGCTCATATATTATTGAAGGGAGTGCAAAATGGTACAGCCACTTTGGAAACAAGGTTGGCAATTTCTTAACAAGTTAAACATAACACTTACCATATAATTCAGCAATTCCACTTGTAAGTATTTACGCAAGAAAAATAAAAACTTAACGTTCGCACAAAGATTTGTACACAAATGTTTATAGTGACTTTCTTCATAATCACCCAAACTGGAAACAAACCAGACGTCTTTCAACTGGTGAAGGAATAAACAAACTGTAGTTCATCCAAACAATGACATACTACTCAGAAATAAAACGGTGCAAATCACTGATACATATATACAACCATATGATGACTCAAATGCATTATGCTAACTGAAAGAAGCTAAACCCAAAGGCTATAAGATTTCATTTATATGACATTCAGAATAGGCAAAACAAAAACAGGGACAGAGACGAGATCAGTTGTGCCTGAGGACGGGGACGGAAGAAAGCAGAGTAGAATATCTTTTGGGTGACAGAACTGTTCTGTATTCTGATTTTCCGCATTTGTCAAAACTTATAGTCATTTACACCAAAAAGAGTGAATGTAAAATATATAAATGAAAAAAAAATTTTTTTAATTTTAATGATGGCTTAGGGCAGGAGACTAATTCATGATGAAAAGTTAAAGAGATCAAAAAGCTTATTTTTGGAAAAACAGGTTTATAAACACATTGTATCTATTTTCAAATGAATCCACAAAATTATTTTGGGCCAAAACCCAAGAAAACTGAAAATAAAGGAATACAACCCAACTAAATTTAGCTAAAGTAGCTAAATTTAACTTTAAAACTATACCTGACATATGGTATGTGAATTATTATCTTATAAAACTATTAAAAAAGCAAAAAAAAAGCTATACCTGAAGCACTTCTTTCCTCTATCCAAGTGTTTCCCAAACGTGTCTAATAAGAATCATCTGACAACTTGCTAAAAACAGATAGTCCCAGACCCCTTCCCAGGAGATTCTGATTCAGCAGACTAGGTTGGGGGCTAGGACACTTCATTTTTAAAATATACTTCTGCCTCAAGAAACTTAATTATCAGACAAGTTTAAAAAATAACTGCTACCATAATTCTTTCTGAGCTACAAAACCAAGCAAAAAACTTTATCTATTTAGTCATGTTATGAATGTTTTCTCCACAGCGGAATGATCACAGCCTGAAAAATTCAAGATGATCCACTAGAATATGAAAGGAAATACTAATCAATGTATGTTTACTTTAAATCTTGTATTCCAAAATTTCTATTTAAGGAATGTTTTATAAAGTACAGAATAAATCGGTGTAATAAGACATGTATATCTTTTTTTTTCAGTGGGACATATGATCAAAAGAGAGTGGCAGCCACTGCTCGCGGGCTCCTGGTTTATTAGTTTTTCTTCCTAAAGACGACCAACCCTTAGCCTCTGCCCTATTTTGCAGTAAGACCCCTACAACGCTCACTCTTTACCATTATGCCATATTCACACCCTAGGCATAAGAGCATCATCATTACACATAAAAGACACGGTTCTTTCCTTCTGCTGAGATCTGGAAAGTTATTTATTATATTGTAACTAGTAAGAAATTTGGAAATTGCCTACCTCTTTACAGTATTCTAAATTCCAGTGGACTCTTGGCATTTGAAGATTCAGCTCACCAATTTAACAGGTGTGGTTTCAGTCCTTCACAGGTATCTGTGAAGTTTCATGACAAGCAGGAATCTGATTCTGCTAAGTCACAAATTTAAACCAAGTATGCCTTCAAGTTGGTGTGAAGGACCAAATTATTTAGCAGGTGAGTGAACTAAGCTGACCACCCAACATTTACTCTTATACAGCTAGACTGCTCTCTGCTGGTTATCAGGGTCAGAGAGGCCTCTTTAATCTTTACTTATCCTCTACTGCAGGGGTCCCCACTAATTATCTACAAGGTTTACTACAAAGAGTTCTTGAATCCAAATGTGTATAATTATGTATTTTTTTCAATTAAATACTAAAATACAATCACTATCATGTAGGATTTGGGAAGTTTTTGCATGGGCATTAAAAAAGAACTGTCACAATTAGAAAGCCCAGAATTCATGCATTATGGCACATAAATCTTAAGTGGTATTCACTTATTGAGGTATTCAAGTCACAAACTGCTGTGGGTGTGTTTAATATCAAAAATATCAAAAGATATGTTTTGAGAACCCTTCTAACAGTAGAATTCTATTGGAAACATGAACTGTGTTCAGAAAAACATACCACTAAGCTTCTCCTTTCAGCCCTCTACATCACTAACATGTCTCAAAGAAGGCCCGCCTCTCTTTCTCACCCTCAAGAATATCTTCATAAAGTGCATGTACTCCTTCAGGCACGATGACTGCCAGCGCAGTTCCACAGAGAAGGCCAGCACCCAAAACAGTCACCAGCTTCAGTCGCTCCTGGAAAGAAAACAGAAGAAGCTGTTAAAAAGGTTGATGAATGAACGGGGAAAAGTTTCTGAACTATCTGTAATCAAGACTGTGAGTTGCCTATTCGTGAGACCAAAATCTACAAAGGCCAGTGAACATGAAAGAGGGTCAGCTTCATGAATAATAATACCAATTAAAACACGGAAATGCCGTTTTTAAACTTATCAGATAGGCAATGATGGGGGAGAACTTATCTACTACCCGAGACAGGGAGAAATGAGCGTACTTGTCTAACACTGGAAGGAACAAAAGTGCTGCAACAAATCTGGACCGTAATTTGGTAATTTAGATTTAGAGCCTCAAAAATGTGAATTCTTTTTTTTTAAATTTTCCTTCCCTATTTTCTTTTTTTGGGGGGAGGGGGTAATTAGGTTTGTTTGTTTTGATGGAGGTACTGGCGATTGAATCCAGGACCTCGTGCATGCTAAGCACACACTCTACCACTGAGCTATATCCCTCTCCCCCAAAAAGTGAATTCTTTGATCCAGCAACTTCACTTCTAGAAATTCATCCTAAGAAAGAACTATGCAAAGATATCCACTGCACTTTTTAAGAGTGCAAATCTGAAAATAGCATAAATATCCAAGAAAGAACACTGGCTAATAAACTTTAATATTTCATCATAGTACCATAAGACTCAGCAATTAAAAATTACGCTATAGGTCTATTCATGGATATAGAAAGCCATGATGTACTGATATGAGGAAAGAGCTGGGAGCAAACAATATGTATTGATAATTTCTTATGTCTTCAAAAAGCACAAATATAAATAGAACAAGTGTAACATTAATATTTTTTACTTTATAGTTTATAAACATAATATGTAATATATACTTTACAACATAAAATTTATAACCTATATTTTTAATTTATCTGCAATGAACATGTATTAGTCATACAATGAAAAAATGTATCTAGTTCAATACTAAAATGTTCTATGGGCTCTTAAAAAACTGCTTGATTGAGTTATGACTAACATATAAAAGCTGTAGGTACTTAATGTATACAACTTTATGGGTTTGGAGACAAGTCTACATCTGTGAAATCATCACCACAATCAATGTCATAAATGATCTACAGTTTTAATCCAACTTAATCTCAATTTTTTCTTTTTACTCAGATTCCTCTGAGAGACTGTATCCTGAGATACAAGATATAAAATATGAGGTTAGCAAAAATAATAGTGGTCGTATTAGATCTGCGTACTACTGAACTGCGAACTACTGACTGTGAGGCTGGGAGGATACATACGAACATGTTCTGTCTCCATGGAAAAACAGGTTCTTGGCTGTAAGGCTGGTTGAAACATTACTTCCTCCTCATTTGGGAAGAACAAAGGGATCTACATCTCGTGTCTCTAAGGTAAATGGAGGACCTATAGCTGCAGTGTCAGCACCACCTAATACTTGTCCTATAGCAAGTAGGTCAGCCCTTCATACATTCAGGACAGCCATTAGCTACCTATAAATTGAGAGTGTTCTGAATGTATCCAGTAGTTGGGGCACTGGCCTGGGAGTCAGAGTTGATTCCATGTTCAAATTAGTTAACAACTCAGTACCTCAACTTTTCTTCTGTAAAATAAGAATATTTCTACATGTCTTGTAAAGATACAGGAGGCAATAGGAAAGAGTGTTTGAAGCATTTTGTAAAAATGACACCAAACAACTGGTGTTACTATTTTAACATTTAATACTGAGCTATTCTAAGAGTCTTTGTCTTTTCCAAGTTACTAACCTCACCAAAGCACTGCTAATCACAGCATTCATTTGAGACAAACTGTCAGAGCCTGGAGAACACAAGACGGAAAAACAGCTCTATTCTGTGTAGAAGGTGATGTGGTAATTAATTAGTCTTTTTGTCATTCTCTCTAAAAAATTCATAAAAGTCACCTTTGTTTAAAAAAATTCATGAATGTCAAGTTTTACTTCTAAAGGAAGGACAAAAATATGGGTAAAACTGAGCTTGGCTGAGCATACTGTTTCATTTTAGGGCCTTTAATTTCAAAACTCCACAATCCAAACTGATGAATAAATTGCTAGGAAAGAAGACTGTGCTGTCAGCATTTTGACTCTGCTCTACTCTGGGGAATGGAAATGAAAGATGTCTCTGCTTTGCAAATTAAGGGAAGATGAGATGTGATGAAAGGATGGACCTAAAAGAAAAAGAGCTGATTGCCCTCAAGAATTACGTGGGTAGTAGCTCACATCAGATAGAAAAACTGATCCTTGATGGATTATACACCTAAATATAAAACCTAAAACTCAAAAGCTGCTAGAAGAAAATGAGGAATATCTTTGCAGTCTTGGGGTTGGCAAATATTTCTCAGCAGGGACACAAAAAACACAAACCATTTTAAGAGAAAAAATTCAAATTCAGAATTTTAAATGTTTGCTGATCCATTAAGAAAATGAATAGACAAACTATATACTGGAAGAAAACATCCACATCAGTAGTGGAAATACATATATCTGTGGTAGGTGCTGTGGTAACATTGTCTACATTAACCCCCTTCAGGCTGGAGACACCTGTTCCGCCAACTGCTGGGAGTGCTGCCTACTAATGCCTCACAGCTCAGTCTCTCAGAGGTCCTGCCGTTGGGCCAAAGGGGAAGGACTAACCTAAGGTTATATTCCCTCTCCCAGGGCAGTCCGCATCTAATGACTATCCCTCTTGGTGCTATGTGGAGGAAGGTACAAAGGTATAAAGGCACAAAGCCTGATCTCCTTGCCTCAATTCAGAATATCTCAGAAGAGCCATCCAGCTTCAGAGCCTTTTGTGGGATGAGCTGAGGCCTCTACTGCAACTGAATTACAGTTCAACTTCTCCATCTGTTTAATCTTGCTCATTCTTTCACAGGTGTTATTCCCAAGAGCACTCTCCAATAAACTTCCTGCGTGCAAATCTGCTTTTCAGAGTCTGTTTTCTAGGGAACCAACCTAAGACATTGACAAAGGGCTTGTATTTGAAATACAAAGAATGATTACAACTCAATAAGAGACACCCACTAAAATGGCTAGAATTAAAAAGACTGACAACACGAAGTGATGGCAAGGATACAGAGCACCTGGAACTCTCGTACACTGCTGGTGGGAGCATAAAATGGTACAACCACTTTAGGAAATTATCAGTTTCTTATAAAGTTAAACCAGCAATTCCACTTTTATGTACTTATCAAGAGAAATAAAAGCATATGTCTTCCCCCAAAATTTGTATAAGGATGCTCACAGAAACTTTATCAGTAATAGCCATAATCTAAATCAGATGCCCAGCAATAGCACAATGGATAAACTGTGGTATACTTGTACAATGGAAAACTAATCAGCAACAAAAAGGAAAAAAATTACTGCGACATACAGCAACATGAATCTCAAAAACATCATCCCAATGCTTGAATAAAAGAAGCCTTTCTCAAAAAGAATATATACTGTATGAGTCCATTTATATGAAGTTTAAAAGCAGGTCAAACTAAACTATGGCAATAAAAATCAGAACAGTGGCTGCTTCTGGCAGGAGGGAGTACCAGGGGACCACAGTGGCAGAGAAGACTAACTGGAAAATGGCATAAGATTATTTTTTTAGGATGATAGAGATTTCTAAATCTTGATTGGAATGTGAGTTATACACATTTGTCAAAATTCATCAAACTGTATTAAGATCTAAACCTTTTACCCTATAAAATCACGTATTTATTTCAAAAACTACTTAGGAAGCAATTTATTCAACCAGGACCTCTGAAAGGATTCATTATAGAACTATCCAATTTTAAGAAGGCGTCTTCACGGCAGCTCTTTGAAAGCAAGGTCAGAGGTCTATGAAGAATACTAAAAGCTACTTTCAAACTTTTTTCTTAAACAATCTCACCTGCCATTCAGCTATTCCTTAAAAAACATTCACCACAATTTTATGTAAATAACTCCATGCAGAAGCCAGAGGTCTTTACAATTGTGCATCAACACAAATTCACTAGGCACTTACCAAGTGCTTCATAATCTACACTAGAGTCACATGAAGCACTAGATTGAGACAAGTTTTAAAAGAGCAGAAATGAGTTTTTGAGGCTTCCAAACCACAAAATTAAGATGGTGAAGTAGTACCATTTAGGATAACTGAGGGATATATACCCAGAATAACTATGGGCACTACAAATAAAACCTTCAAATTCATAAAGAAAGTAAAAAATGATTCCCCTAAAATGCTGCCTTTTAAATTTTAAATAATGTAAAATAATTAATAGATGTTCTTTTTCCCAAATGAAATAACCCATAATCCCATTCACTTATTTACATGGAACTGATTTCTGAACATTCTCTATCATAAAAGATTTTATAAGAATTTCCCAAAGGCCCAAGCTAGAAAATAGTTGAATCTCCATGTGTAGCTAATGTCATTACAAAAAAATCATGGTAAGTCTTTAAAGTCCATAGTCATGAAATTACACCTCTTTGTTAATCGTATATGAATAAATGCTCTCCGTTGAAGGAATGTGAACAGGAGCACGGTCCAAATTTTTACAAGGACAGTACCAATTTTTATTAATCTTTAGACACATACTTTTTTTTTTAATTGAAGTACCATCAGTTACAATGTATCAGTTTCTGGTGTACATCACAATGTCCCAGTCATGGATGTAAATACATATATTCATTTTCATTTTGAATTCACTCATATTTCATTTTCTCAAGATACTGAGAATAGTTCCCTGTGCTATACAGCAGAAACTTTTAAAAAATCTATTTATATATACAGTGGCTAACATTTGTAAATCTTAAACTCCCAAATTTATCCCTTCCCATCCCCTTTCCCTGTAACCATAAGATTGTTTACTATGTGTGCGAGTCTGTTTCTGTTCTGCAGATTAGTTCATAGTAGACACTTTTTAAAGTGTGATACTAGCTACCAAAGTTATCAACACAGAATCCAAGCTTAAGAACTGGAAGAAATGTAACAAATGATCTTCTCTCAATATACAG